TGAAGAGCTGATAAAACCGCTTGCTTGGTGTCCATGTGTAGAAATTATGTGCTGGTCATTTTTAAACAGGCCTGCAGTAACGGCGCTCTCTGGACTTCCAAAGGCCTTGGAGAAGACCCTGAAAGCATACGCTCCCCTCACAGGTGCTGTAAAGATTCCTGTAACAGACAGTGGTTAATTAGATGCATTCAAATGAGAGCATTATAGAAAATCCCACAGATACAGTCACACTATATGAATAGATTCACCTGTGTTTGTATCATAGGCGTCTCCAATATTAAGGAAGACATATTCATAAATCAGGGTGTGTAGACCATTATGAAAGGGTCCAACGCTTCGTGGTCCAAAAGAGCTCAACAGAGAAGCCGAGAAAGCCACTTTAGGAGCTAAAACAAACAAATCAGATTACAAATTCTCTCATGCTTACATTGTTCAAAAGTTTTGGGTTGGTAAGATTTGTCTCTTAAGGCTGCATTTAGTTGTTTACAAGAATACATTTAATTTATTTGCCATTACTCCGGTCTTCATTCTGCAGAAATGCATTCTAATAGTGATTTAGTGCTCAATTCAAGAAATCTTTATTTTTCTCAGGATTTTGGATGATTAGACAGTTTAAAAACAGCATTTATATGGAATATAAATTGTAATATGTCTTTACGGTCATATTTGATAAGTTTAATGCATTCATGCTGAATAAAAGTATTCATTACTATACCAAGAGTGTAACTTAAGCTCTGTACAAACTGCAGTACATTTTAGAAAAATATATAAATCACAATTCAACATTAATAAATTAATCCCAAATATTTTATAATATTATGTCGTTACGGTCACATTTGATAAGTTTAATGTATTCATGCGGAATACCAAGAGTGTAACTTAAGCTCTGTACAAACTGCAGTACTGTGGAGCTACACATTTTAGAAAAATATAAAAAAATAAATAAAAAAAAGCTAAACTCATCATTAATAAATGAATCCCGACTCATTTAACTTGATGACAAATTTTTACAAAGTTGTAACAGCCTTAATTTTTAGTGTGACTAGAAATATTAATTTGTTACCTTGATTCTGCTTCATTAGTTCATCCAGTTTGATATTTGTGCCAACCAACGTTTTATTCAAAATCGTCAGTTCTTCTGCTTGTTCTAAAATAATAAACGAATGTTTAGGTTCTTCTGCTTGTTCTAAAATAAACAAATGTTTAGTGCATATGTGGACAGTGAATATAAGCTGAAGAAAGACTTAACTTAGTCAAGTAGTGATATGCAATTTAACTATTTTATAATCTTTCAGTAGAACAATATGGTGTTATAAACATTCAGACATATACAAATTGCGGTTCATTTTAAACTGGCACTGTCATGTATAGGATCCTGTCAGGTTACCTTTGTTCTCAGTTTTTAGTCGCTCCATTTCATTCTCCATAGATTCCATCCTTTTT